ATTTTCCTTAATACCAAATTAAGGAACCCACACTACCTTAATGCTACCCTGTAAGGTACCACACAGTGATTGCTCACTGTCTTGTCCCATTTTTACTCGGCACAAAGAAACTGGCTCCGGTCACCGTCCAATTCTTTCTACATCCACTGCTCACCCTCTATAGCAAACCCACACGTCTACCTAGGGATCGAGACAATTTTTGTTATTATAAGATAAATACTGTGCTAGGAATGCATCTCAAAGTGCTGCTGAGCTCTATGCAGAGCTGCCATCCTCTTCCACAGATGCTTATTTGAGTACAGATACTACGCTTGCTCTTCTCTGGCATGTCCATTTATCAACTCTCCACAAAAAAAAACAAAAAAAAAAGTGAATATGCACTTAGACTTCACATGTCTCAAAAAGCTTTTTTTTGATTGTTTGTTCTTAGTTCTGTTACTCTAATCATACTCTCATTTTTCCTAGAGCCATCCACTTACTTGCTGGTCCAACAAGCACGGGTGCTTGTGGCAGAAAGCTGAATCCACTGAAGTCTGAGGGAACTTCAAGCACGTTATGGATTTTCTAAATTGATACCACAGCACTGCTGGACCAGTTACGAGCTTTTACCCGCTGCTAATAAGCTCTCTCAAGCAGATGGAAAAGCAGTTTCCCAGCCTCTCTCTACCTTGGCTATGTCTTTGGAGCCTCGTATTTACACTGCACAGACTGACTCATCTTTCTGTTGCTCTTAAAGCGCGCAGCAATAAAATCGGTGGCGTGCCCATACCTCTGCGCGTGTCACGCAAGCTACCTGCAGATTTTATCAGTGGTGGGACAATAATCGTTTTGTCTCCTTACTGGATCCAGTGCTGTAACCTAATAAATTAACAAAACGCGAACACTGCAGTTTTCTTTCAACAGAGATGATGAAAAAGCTTCCCTGGTTTTCAAAGCCACATTCAACAAGGACCCAGGATGCTACGTGCCTTAATCCCCTCATCGCCTCCCTTACTGCAAGGCACCTTCCCCAGCCTCACCAAGGGACTCACGCTCCGGCCAGGCTCGGCACTCCAGGGTCATCTCCTACCCGTCACATCTTGCCGTGCGGTCACTGCCACCTCCAGCCAGCCCCTGACGCTGGACTCCATGACCAAAAACCCCACCTTTGTTCCTTCTGCTGTGATGCCCCTTACAGATCTCATATTAATTCCCTGCAACATCATGGAGACGTCTCATTTCTCACTCTTCAATCACTGTTCACAATGACAATTACAATTCTACTTTTCCTTCTACAGCAACATTTAATTGCACTAGTAAAGAAAAGTCCCATTAAATCACAAAAGTATTATCTTTCACTAAGTCATGAGCATCTGGAGCCCACAGCTCCTCAAAGTTCCTTGCTGTTCAGCTTTCCTTAGGAACAATAAATGCAGATTTCGGACAACACCAAACTAGTCACTCTGCCTTCACAGCCTGATTCCCATCTTTTCGTTTTTGTGAACAAATCTGGCAACCGAGGTTGCCCATTGGTAACTTCCTTCCACTTGTTTTGTGCAGGCATCTGGAATGTGATTTTATTTACTTATTTACTCCAAGCCAAAGGCATTACATTTTCTTCCTATCTTGACCTCCACCACTAATAGATACACATCTTACAACTCTAACAAGAAACTGTAAGGTTTAATACATCAACCCTTACTACTTTTAAACACAGATGTTTCTGAATATCCCTGAACAAAATCTGAGTTCAGAGCATAATTAAGCGTTAATTCTAGAAGCAGGATTTATTTCAGCAGTAGTCACGGCGGCCCCTGTTTTGAAGTTTAAGCAGCAAACACGGCTACTCCCATCCATTATCTTTCAAAAGGGTCAACCAAATTAGAAGGACAATGCCAGGACATTCATCTTCTTCTGAAAAGCACGCATATCTTTCATAAGCACTCTTCAAGAGGCTGATAAATGAGAACCTCTTGATGCACACAAGGAAAATTTGCATTTATTAATCCTATATTTTTCCGCCCTGCCTTCCAATACCTGGGCACACAAAGAAGGACGTGAAAGCCATTACAGCTGCCAACACTGCGTTATTCCTCTCTACCACGTCTCACCCCGAGTCCTCTGAGTCCCGTGAAAGCCACCACGCAGTCAACTTTTCTGCGATCTTTTTGATTCAGAGCCAGAGCTCTCCATGTGTTATACCCTGCCCTGAACACCTGGCAGCTGCCCAGGAGGAAAATCTGCATGGCACTTCAGTAGCTTCCCTCTGTGCTTCCTCCTCTGGGGCTGGAGGAGGACACAAAAGGAGGAGGGGGACGATGAGGAGGTAGTTCTGGCACTGGTTTCCTACTCGCATACCCATCACTTTGTTACTGCTTCAAGTCTAAAAACACCGCTTGTAAGCACTGTTCCTCGAGGAGAGGGCTCAAAGCAGTCAAACCGCACGTTTACAATCAACATTTTAACTCATTCAGAAGATATTTTTTTATCACATCTGGCACTTTACTAGATGCCACTGTTAGTTCCTTCCATATAAACTACAAGCAAAATAGGGAAGACAAAAACATCCATTAGGTAAAATACGCTGTATCTCCAAATTCATCTGTCCGAGCAGCCCACATTTCTGTGGTGTTTAGATGTCAGACAGCTGCAATGATTCATACCAAGATGACCACGGGGAACTCTCCGTTTTTTTTGCATGTTCATGTTTATTTCTTACTCGCTCCACCTCTGGCAGGACGGTAAGGTTTGCAAGGCACTGTGAAAGCAGCTCTTTTGTAAGTGTCCCTGAAGCAAACTCCGCGACGCGGCCGCGTTGGCTCCTGAATTAGCCGGAGCTCTGCTGACAGGCGTGACCGATCACGTCCTTCTCCCGGCCCTGAACAAAGCCTGAATGTTGGCGACCCAAAGACACCATTCTGTAGGGACTCCTTTATTTGCCACACAGGATCCTCCTGTTTACCGAAACAGGCACCAACAGCCAATATTTGATGCTGGGATGACCCAAACCTACACGCCAATCTACAGCTATACATTTTTCGTGCACTGCAGTAACAGAATAGTTTCGCAGCTCAGAGTTATTAGCCCGCAGAATCCCTACTGCTCTGGCAAATCTTCTGACACAGCCACTTAAACCTAAGTTGTCTGAGCCACGAAGGCAGGAAAACAATTACCAGGAATCCTTCCCGATCCTCCTCCTGCTGGGGATTCAGACGGTCAGGTAATACAAACACTTGCATGAAAATGAACGGCTGAGAAATGTTTCCATTCTCAATCTTTTTTTTACTTCTATATAACCAAAACATAACTGATTAAAGGAAAAAAAAAAAAAAGAGATAACTAAGGATCCGAGGATTAGCAGACTACGCAGGTAAAACTGAGACGAACATTTTAAAATTGTTCTCTGGTTTTGGTTAATGACAGGGACTTGACTTCAAGGTTGTTTTCCTGCCATCTGTATCAGTGAAACTCATCTTTCTTTCCTACCTCAAGGACATTTTGTTCAATTTCTAGGTATTTTCAGTCGGAATTTCAAGTATTGCACATTAGCCGGGGAACTGATTCACAAGAAATGGGTCTGGAAACGCACCACCCATTTCTACATAATCAGTACTTCTTAGGACAGCTTTAATTTGTATCTCAAGAGTAAAATTAACGTGGCCAGACGGCTTCAGGGCCTGTGCTGCTGCACAGGGCTCCCCTAGCCATAGCACCGGGGCAGCAGCTCTCAAGTTTTCATTGCTGCTAAGCTGAATACCCGAGCGTAAGAATAACTATCCCTTTGAGAGGCTGGAGATGAAGGAGGCTCGCAACGCTCATTAATCATCATCCAAGGACGTTGCAGGGAGCAATAAAGAACAGAACTGGGACAGTTCAAAAGATACCAAAGAGCAGCAAGCCTGCTGCCGGCTCTTCCACGCAGCATCCACTGCACCATGCAGATGGCGATTTCCAATGGAAACCTGCCACAGGCTCCGCAAACCAAAGAAAAATAGAGTCTTGGATTCATGTTGTTGCCAGGTAGTCCTACAAATCCTCTGTAAAAGCGTGAAGGCCGAGCACAGCCCGTGCTGCACGGGCGTATTGGGAGGTGTGGATGCTGGGATGACTTGGGGCAGGCAGATACAGACGTGGGATCGCTGAGCATGGTCTGGCAGCTGACATCTGGCCCCGAGCTCCCCTCCTCGCCTGTTAATTACAGGCATCGGAGGGGTGCGTGCCTGGTGGTCCCCTCACGCCCTCCCAGGAGGTTACGGACATCTGCGTGTGTGTGCCAGAGCGGGGCCTGAGCCTCACGTTCAGATACACCCCACAGGGCATTAGAAACATGAAGAGGCAACAGAATGAGGCCACAAACAGCAAGGAAATGGTAACAACAAAAAGAAACACCTACTAAATCACTGCCTTTCCTACAGCTGACGTGAGAGAGGGGAAGAAGCCTGATCCCACCCCAAAACACTAAAAGCAAAAGCAGCACGCGGGGTGCAATTTGCCCGGCACACAAATCCACTGGCTGGGCAAATGCTTCCCGTTAATAAAATGTTAATTTTATTAACATTACCATCACCTATTTTTTAAAAATACGAGAGCACGTCAGCCCGTATTCAGGTGGAAATGGTTATGAGACCCACTGAAGCTGTGGGGGGCAGTCGCAGCCCCTCTTCCATTCTGCATTTCTCGCTATTTGGGGGTACCGCTGGCCCCGCGCTGGCTGACCCGCAGCACACAGCACAACATCCACGCACTGACCCCAGTGTGAAAAACCCCAAATTTTCTGAATTTCTCCCCAATTTCAGCGATGCTGAATCCAGCTAGCCTGACAGCGGGGAGCACCATGGATGCCTCATCCCCGTGCCGGCTGGGTTTGGGCTGAAGACCCCCTAAACCCCCACACCCAGATAAACCCAGATGACCCCAGACAGACCCCGCACACCCCGCAGCCCCCAGCCGGACCTCCTCGGGCGCGGGTCCCGCGGCCAAAGGCGGCGGAGGGGGGGCTTTTGGGGGCGCTCGCCCCTTACCCTCGGCGCTGTGGGGCGGCCGCCGGGGCTCGCCCTGCTCCATGCTGACGGCTCCGTCCCTCCAGACGCGGAGGTGCGCGGCCGCCCCCGGTCTGCCCGCGGGGGTCTCCCGGCGGCGGGCGCGGGCCCGCAGCCAGCCGCAGCACTGGTAGCAGACGGCCCACGCCTGCTCCTCGTTGATGGGCTGGTTGTACAGCCGCAGGATCTCCTCCAGCGACAGCGCCTCCGGTTGCCCTCCTCCTCCTCCTCCTGGTTCTCCGTCCTCATCGGTGGCGGCGGTGGCGGCGGCAGCGGGGCGGGAGGCGCCGGGCTGCGGCTCTGCGCCGCGCTCCCCCGGCAGCGCCATGCCCTGCGCGGCTCAGCGCCCAGCGCTGCTGCTGCTCGCACTGCTGCTGCTGCTGCTCCTCCTTGTGCCGCTGCTGCCGCTCCTAGCGCTCATCCTCCCCGCCCCGCCAGTGCCGCCAGGCCGCCGGACAGCCCGGCCCAGCCAGGCGGGCGGGCAGCGGGCGGCCGGGGCGGGAGGAGCGGCCCCGGCGCTGGCGCTGCCGCCGCCGCCGCCGCGGGGGGAACGGCTCCGAGCCGCGCAATGGCCGCCCCGCGCCACGCAGCGCCCCCTGCCGCCCGCCCTCCGGCACCGCAGCGCCCGCACGGCCCCTGCTGCTGCGGGAGGGGGGGCCCTGCCTGTAAGGGCAGGGAGATGGGACTGCCCCCTGCCAAGCGCTGCGCCGAGGGGGTGGTGCAGGAAAGGGCTTTAATTCATCCCTATCCAGCCCTCTACATTACACTAGATGCGATGAGATCGGTGTTGACCGATCCACATGTTTAAGACAACCAAAACCACACATGGATAAGCGTAGGTGAGAGTATCAGCCTCTGACAAAATCACAGAGGGGTATTACAGAGAACAACTTCCACCTCAGCAGCAGGCTAAGGTTGAGTGTCAGAAAGGGGAGAGGTATTACAGAAATAAGCCTCTGCAGTTGTTTTTTCTCTTCCTCCAATCATCCATGACATATTTTAGAGGTTGGACTCGATGATCTTGAGGTCTCTTCCAACCTAGACAATTCTGTGATTCTGTGATATTATTTTCAGGGAAAAGGTACGATGTTAGACAGACTTCATCTAACTCAGCACAGCTATTCACCTAAGAACCCCCATAAATTATCACATTCATAGATTAATAAAATTACCTATACCCGACTGAACTGTTCCTAGGTGCTGAACTTAGAAGCTATTGCTAGCTCCAAGAGAGATGGAAATACAGGAATGTTGTATGTTTCCTTTCCACCGTGGAAATGTAAGTATTAAAGTTGCTTTTATTAAAATAAACTCTCTTTATAAATACAATTATTATCATGTATACAATTCACTTCACACAATACAGTATTCAAAATCCGTGGCACCTATATAAAAATACAATATTAGTTTAATTGCATCATTTGATATGCAGATACATTATTTTGCAGATCCAAAGAGGCATGCATGATTTTGTTTTTCAAAGGACGGAGCGGTATTTACAAGCAAACATGATCCAAACAGCACATGCGGATTCAGGGTACGTAAACACTCGTACACGAACTGCAAGTCGCACCTGGTCACCCCTACAACAGATTATTTCTTCACAGAAAGGAGACCTATGACAAAGAAGAAAATCAAGAATTACTAATATCATAAGCAAGAAAAATAACAGTAACAACGAATATCAATAAGCTACTATTAAAGTTTTCAGTTATACAAGTGCAATTATTTGAAACATGATTAACATACAACAAGCATCCCAAATCTGTCAATACAAACAATATTGTTTTATAGCGCAAGGGCTGTTGTCTTGGAGAAGAACAAAACCACTGACGATCACTTAGCAAGAGCAGAGAAATTAAACGAACTGTATTTCAGGGGAAAGGACAACACACTCCTCAGTATTTAATTTAACCCATCAGCAGTCTATCATCACTGAACTCACCCATTTAACACAAAAGCTCTGCACCCGATGTTCAATTCATTATGTGCATCAAACAACTATTCTTTATTGTTCCAGATCTTATGTAAGGAACTTGATTTTCTTTAAACTTTACTATCAAAGCAAACAAAAAAAACCCTGCAATTCATAATTGTGTGTCCCTACTTGGTTTTCACATATACGTTGTAATTTATACTTAGTCTTACCGAAGACATGTGGCAAATGCTCTCCTGGCATTTCTGTATACAAAATGGATAGGAAACCCTTTAAATGTGTGACCGTCAGGTACTGCTCTTCGTACAGCATCTTGAAACTCTTCGTTTCCAGCAGAAATACTCGTGGTACGTTCGAGCTCGTAGGCTGCTAACGCTGGTGACAACAGATAGGATAGATGGTCATCCCAAACAGTAGAAAGGCCAAGATCCTGTGAGGCAAGCCACAACATGATGACAACCATGCAGAAAGAATATAAGGATGTTAATCAGCTTGCATAACATACAGATTCAAATAAAATCATGACCAACCTTTAACTTGCAGTTCATGGATGTGAATCCATAAAGCAGGAAGGGTTAGGTACTCATTCACACACCAAACCAGAAGAATCAACCACCACCACCAAAATATTTAACACCTAACAAGAAATTAAGTCAGACTCGACTAAAACAAGACCAGCAATGTTTTGAAACTATATATTTTAGCTACAGTATATTTGGAAGAAATTTAAGACTACAGTGCTGGTGCATAAGATAGGCAGCAGAAATATGGGAAAGATCAACGAGGAATCACCTCACGTTTTCCTAATGTCTCCTGGAAATTCACTACAAAAACCAATGCACACCAAGTTCCCAAAACACGGATACGTATGTACATGCACTCTTACCATCAAACAAATGCAAGCAAGTAGAAAAATCTAACCACTTCAGTGTTCAACACTGCACAAGATTCATACTCTGAGAATTACTTGACACCCTCAGGTTGAGCATTATGTGGTAGGAGAGATTAAAAAGTAAAAGATATTGCTAACATTGAAAAAAAAAAAAAAAAAGAAAAGAAAGAAACAATCAGCTATCAGCTAAAAGAGCTATCAGCTATCAGGAACTGAAAATATCATCTCCTTCATATTCAGTCCAGGAAGAATAATTTCTGGTATATTATGTCACGTAGAAATCTTGATAAAGGACAAAACTAACTTCTAAAAATACCTGCTAATTTTGGATAGCACTCAGAGTAAGACTCTGAAAACTGAAAGCCTGCTTTCATCAAGGGAAGAGACACACATATAAAATAAGATATAATAACGTGATAGATGTGCTAAGGATGCTTATCTTCTCAGCCCTTTTACAAACCACTCATAAGCGGTCTGCAGATGCCAGTAGGCCAAAAATCACAGACCAGGAAAGAGAGGAAAGGGGGGAACAAGCCCACACGTGACTGCAGCACTGTCACAGCAAACGGTCAGTATGATGTCTAAAGTAGCTCAGTGCAGTCATCCCAGATGTTTTTCAGTTACTTCAGTTTTCACATCTTGCATTTTGGCAAAAGGTGATAGAAAACACGTTACAAAGGCCCAGCTACTTAAACCAACAAACATCTGTGCAAAACAAACACACAAAAAACATGCACCTTTACCACCTCAGCAGATCGGTAATAGTTTTCTAAGCAGATTACCTTCCTGTGTTCTGAGACCAGTAATCTCAGCTGCAACTCTATCTCATTGCTTGTTACTGCAGCATCTATTGCAGAAGCACACAAAGGAGGAAAAGGGGGAACTGAAGATGCTGCTCCAGGAGAACAGACAGATTTTATTGCTTCTCCACTCATGGGCTTCCATTTAGACTCGTCATGCAGGTCAAACACGCAGACCTCCACAGCATCAGTGGGCTGACAATTTCCAAAGAACTTGTGATGGTTGAAGACACAACCTATTGTGCGATAGGGATACAATGGCTTGGGTTGTTCAACTAGCGGAGGGTCATCAGGGTTGATAGGCCTGTGGATATACCTGATCAGAAACATTCAGTTTTTATTTATTAATGCACCTTATTTCACATTTTTATTAATGCACCTTATTTCATGTCAAGGTAAAAATATGTAGATGGGACAGAAGTAAGTCATTTATCCATTTTAAAATATAATGCAAGTTTGTTAATAAAACTTCCTCCCCATAATTTATTCTAATAATTAATTCTAATACAGGAAAGTAATTACACACATTTTTGGAGGCGTAGCATACAATGCAATAATACATCACTTTTCTTCTTTATATGTAGGAAAATAATCTGACTAATCAAGGAGATGTGGAATAACAATTACATTTTGCAACTATAAAAACATGTCCGTACAGCTTCCACACTGTTCATCACATTTTGGGAAGTACAGCTTAAAATGCTAATCACAGCATACATAATCACTGGCAAAAAACATAATTGCTCACTTTCAAAACTGGTTATTAATCAGCTCCTTTCACAAAGCCAGAAGTTTTACATTCACATATATGGGTCCCTTCCAACTCAGGATATTCTATGATTCTATATATGGTCCCACTGTACTTACAACTTGAAGCTATATATTACAAACAGCTTAGTGCTTCAAACAGCACTAAGAAGTATAGTGGTCTGGACCATAGTGCTGAGCGTCATCTGTAAATGGGAATTTCTTATCATTGAAGCTCTGAACAAATTTTTTTTTCATTTTGATATAAAAATTGGGACTGAATACCACTCTATGCCCTTGAGCAACAGGACATGCAGAATGACAAAAAAGGGAAAGAATTTTAACAAACAGGTACCAGAAGCTTTAGAATACAGAACAACAACGTGCCCTTCTAAAATGACTCAAGTGAGAGAGGAGTTCAGAGAACTCGCACAGAGATTTCTGTAGGGGAACAAAGTAATGCAATGCTGATTTCACAGATGAACTAAGATTAAAAAAACAAACAAACAAAAAACCACATATGGACTCCTAAACAATCATATCAGCTTTTATCTCCTTCTTCATAAATTAAGATGATCAGCTGCCCTAAGACAAAACAGCTACTACACTGTATTAAACTACTGAAAAGTACATTACAAACTGATGAACTACTTCACCTCATGCTGAACCAGTTACTCTTCAAACAGCAGCAGAACATAGAACACAAATTCGAAGACAAAAGCCTCCTAGACACTTAAATACTTAGTTATATGACAGAATGTAGAGACTAAAAAAAAAAATAATAAATAAACCAAAGAACTACACAAATCTCAGTACACCTTGTTCAGTTTTCTCACATTCTGTTAACTCACCTATGCCCTGTTAAGCTCTCCCAAAAGGTAATCGTTCCGTCGGTTCCACAAGTCATTACCCAAGTGTGGGGGACTCCTTTTGCTTTTGTTCCCACACACACAAAGGCTTCCAACCCATATCCAAGAAGAAGGCTGCACAGAAGGTTAGCATGATCTTCACAGTCACCCTACAGTAAGCATTTGTAAGTTGGTTTAAGTATCAGGCACAGCTAAAAATATTAAAGAAAGAAAACCAATTCTATTTCTCCAATTGCTATTTAATAAGTCACACTTCCCTCCTATTTAGGCAAGAGAAGCAACGATGGCCAAAATCATGAACTAATTTAATTCTGCTAACTGTATAATGTGAAAGCTAACCAGTACAAACTATTCTGAAATTTCCAGGCTAATTTTACAAAAAAAAAAAAATAATAATCTTGTTATCCCATACCAGTAGCTGGTTAGCTTCTCTGATAAGTAAAGAATTCTTTCTTGTGATAAAGTTTTGGTTTTCTGTAACAGAATAAATTGTTTTAGTCTCATTGCAGACTATTTTTATTTTTGATTTAAGTATAGTGTGTGACTAATACTGGAAAACATATCTTTTAAGGATAACTTCAAGTAAAACAAAACCAGAACCTCACAGATCAATGTTCAAATTAAAAATAAGTATGTATATAAGGCAAATACCCAAGACAGTATCAGAAATTATTCAGTATTTTCATAGTTAGGAAATATAGTCACTGAATAAAACATAGATCTACTGTAATTTTACTTTACTTTTTTAATTTCAGATCTCCCACAGATGTGACTATGGAAAAGCTGAAAGTCATGTCAGCTACATTTCCTTCAAAGCAGAAAAAAAGTTTTCTTCATCAATTTATTGCTACCAATTTTTTAATGTCTAATTAAATGCTCTTCACAACTGTTAGCTGTAACAGAAAAAAGTTCCTCATAAAACAAAGCCTTCATAATATAAAGCACAGCATTCATTACATAAATAGCACAATCTTCCCCTACCATAATGTACAAAGCAAATATCCAAATAAGTAGATCTAAACCAGGTTTTTGTTGAAACTGTGTTAATAATGTGTCATGGTTTTGGCTGGGATAGAGTTAATTTTATTCATAAAGGCTCACACAATTCTGTGTTTTGGACTTTTGATGACAATAGTGGTGATAACAGAGGGATGTTTCAGTTGCTGCAGAGCAGTGCCCGCACAGAGCCAAGGACCTTCCTGCTTCTCACGTCCTGCCAGCCACCAGGCTGGGGAGGTCACGGCCAGGACAGCTGGCCCAGGGGCTGTCCCACACCGTGTGGGGCCATGCTCAGCAGTAACAGCTGGGGGAAAGGAGGAGGAAGGGGGGAGGACACTGGGAGTGATGGTGTTTGTCTTCCCAAGAAATCATTATGTGTGATGAGCCCTGCTTGGCTGGGAGTGGCTAAACACCTGCCTGCTGATGGGAAGCAGTGAACAAACTCCGTGCTCTGCTTTGCTTGTGCATGCAACATTTGCTTTACTTATTAAAACGACTTTACCTTGACCCATGAGTTCTTTCTTACCTTTCCAATTCTCTCTCCTATCCCACTTGGGGCGAGTGGGAGAGAAGCTGTGTGCTGCTTAACTCACTACTATTGCTAAAACACAATATAATGTCACGCTGTTTTTCTTAAGAAAATTAATAATGGTCCACCTGGTGTCTCAGGAGCTAAATTCAGTTATTTTCTGCATAGCTTTCCACTACACTGCCTTGGTGAAAACCCTTTTTCTGTACCTCCACGTATAACAGTCCTCAAACTCAGTCACTATCATCACTTTCATCTGAAAGCCAGCATGTAGCTCAGAGCTTTCCTTTACATGGCTGGTACCTGTGTGTGAAACTGTGTTATAGTCACAGGATGGTTTGGGTAGGAAGGGACCTTAAAGGTCACCTGCTTCCAGCCCCCCACCATGGGCAGGGACACCTCCCACCAGACCAGGTTGCCCAAAGCCCCATCCAGCCTGGCCTTAAACACCTCCAGGGATGGGGCATCCACAGCTTCTCTGGGCAACCTGTGCCAGTGCCTCACCACTCTTTGAGGTAAGAATTTCTTCCAAACATCTCATCTAAATCTATATTCAGAGACAATAGTTAGTGCCTTTCCTGTGTGGTCTTTGAGACTGGTCTAAAAAATGAGATACAGCTCCTGCTGCCAAGAACAGCAGATCTTTTTAATTATAAACACATCAGTGAGACAGTTTTTGAATGCAGAAGTATCTCAGTGCTGATGAAAAACAGTGATCACTCCAAAGAGCTATTAAAAGGGAGTGGTATTACTTGTACTGATACCTGAGAATTATAATCCAGAATGAGTTACGATTTATTTCATTTATTATAGCCATGTGATACAAATATTGGACTAGGCAGTAACTTCTAGTGAAAAACCTTACCTTGCAAAAACTGAATACAAAGACTTACCATCAATAAGTTTTAGCACATACATAAAAAAATGTGTTTTTCAAAACACTTTTCAAATAATTCTAGGCTAATCCAGGAAGAAAACTAGTGGCCTACACACGAGGATCGATTCACTGCATAACCTATAGGATCTTAGAGCCAATGTAGCAACCTCATTGTCCAATAGAATTGAAAAATGTATTGGAAAATGGACCTCAACAAGAGCAGAAAAGAAAGCAAGCCTGCTCGAGAGCCTGCTCATCTACCATTTAATACCTGGGTCTCTAAAAATATCCTAAATGAGCCACCTGCAACAGAGAATTCTCTGAGATGGACCGAATCCACCTTTCACAGCCTGTTTTTAATGACTAACCTCAGTTAGAACATACCAATGACAAGGTGTCATACACAGACTATTTGCACATACCTTGTTTCTACATATGAAAGCAAGAAGGGTGCACCACTGTTCCTGTTTGCCACCTCCTCCTCCAATGACAGGAGCTCTTTCATAACCCAGGACACTGACAAACCGCGCTGCTTGCCTAGGTGTGTCTAGCAAGCGGCCTGCTCGAAGCGGTCTGACATACGAACACACTGGACGGTTCACTCCATTTTCATCCTTAACATATAAAAACAAACAGCACTGTTAAAACTTCCTGAAGTGCCTCCTGTTTCTCTTCACGGAAGTGACACCTCCCATTCTGGCTGTACCAGGTGTGTTCAGTAGCAGCATCACCTTCCAAACAAGGGTGTGGTGTTCACAGCCCCACCACTGGCGGTGAGCCCCCACCCAGTCGCTCTCTAATTCTCCTGCAGCAGGGCTGGGGAAGAGAAGGGGAAGGGTGCAAGCGAGAAAAACTCATGGGGGAATAATAGGAAAAAGGAGAGGGGTGCAAGCAATGTAAATATAAAGTACAGTTACTTTGCAGCAATGAAAATATCTCAAAAGATAGATTTTAGACCACCTTTTTTTGCGATGGAATTTATTCTTTCCCAAATAATTGTAATTCAAAAATACTGAGACAGAAAAATTCTTTTAAAATTAAGACACAAGACCATTAATGCAATTAATTCAGAGAGACACTACAGCTAGATTTTTCTACTGGCTCTGTAACTGTTAGGATATTCTAGACAGAAAAGAACAGTTTGTGCTCCATCTGCTGTCAGTTTCCACACTGTCATCAAGCAAAAAAAAAAAAAAGCACGTAATATATGCTTCTGCACTACATGTAAAAAGTGGATAATAACTGAGTTATCACAATTCTGATAATCTCATGTGTTCCCACTGCTACTTGGAGACTGGCTGGTCATCAGTCTGCTGGTAGGAGGTGGTGATTGCCCTTGCATCATCTTTCCCTCCCCATTTCTTTCTTTCATTTATGATCTCTACGGACTTAAATTCTTATTGTCTTTATTGTCTTAAGCCTTTGACATTTGTGGTTATTCAGGAAAGGACTAAGGAGGCTTTATTACCTCCTCTGTAGGGTTGCCAGGAGGACTTGTTTCTACATAATGGTATTAAGCTTCAGTAAACACACACAAGTTTAATCCTTAAAATTTCATCTTCAGCATGCTAAACCACATGTAGCCCTGACTGGAACATGGCCACATCATAAATCTATACAGATTCTACATACATAAACTTTAAATATCTATCTAAGAATAAAAAGATAACTTAAAGAACAGGTAAGCATATTCATAAAATTTACAAACCTGTGCAAAGATCTTTACTAGCCTCGTGTTGTGTGTAGGCCTAATCTGTAGGTATTCCCTCCACCACTGTTTAGCATACACAAGAAACAGTCGTTCTTTTTCTGCTGTCCTCTGACGTTCCAAAGTAAACTGCAGGTAAGAAAATAAACATAACAGATGACACATACTAATTCCAAACAAGAACAAAAATGTAATCAATAAGTGTATCAACACCAAATCCTGTCTTAAGTAAAATACAGCTTAATATTTACATGGCATGCCCACACCAATGCAAAAGAATAGTATTTTTAAATGAAAATCCAATGAGTGAAAACCTCAATTTACATTTCTTGTTTGTAGGCTCAAGCTTGACTGAAGCAGTGTTCATCTTCAGTGATGCATGTCTGTACAGAAGGATTACTCAGCTTGTGAAGCGTGGAGTAATATCTGCATGCGCCTTCAGGCCACCATTTACTGGCTTTTCAAGCAGAATAGCTGACTGTTGAAATTGTTTTTCAAATGGAAAAAGAGAGCAAGGAAACACTATCTGAAGAAACTTAAGTATTTCATACTCATTTCTCTTCTTGAAGCTTTGATACGGGCAATTAGAAAACTACATACAGTAATATTTCAAATAAAGTAATGATCAGTATAAACAAAGTAGTTTAAAAGAGGCAATTATATTTAAATTGAGTCAAAAAAAATACTATTGAATACTCAAAAACCCACAGTCCCCAATGTCCACGAGTAATTCTATACTGAGATCCCCCTCTTCCTCCTCCCAAAAGAATAGGTCAGCCTTCCCAAGAATTACTTACTTGAGTATTAGTTATTTCTGGAGACAGCGTCTTACTGAGTTGTGGATACATTTCAAGTCTGATGTTCAAAACACCAACAGAAACCTTTGATTCTGAACCTTCGAACCAAAATATATTTCAATCAGTTCCTTTAAATTCCTTTTACTCAGACACATCAGTGAGACAGGAACAAATTATTGTTTTAATTGTATTATCACAAAAAACAACTAAAACTTATTTAAATACTTAAAACATAAGCATCTTCTTTCATAGTTCAAGCTCACGTAAGACTGAAAGAAAGGGTTACACGGCCAAAGAAGCAGACACCTAGACCTGAGAAAATATCCGTGGTTTTCAATGCGGCCAATATCAGGACATACAATATGTTGAATGGTGTTCTGTAAGTGTCTAGAATAAGGTATCTGTTTTGAGGCATCTAAAATTGATTAGAAGAGCCACACTGCAAGCATGCCTGTTCCTCCTGAAAACACAGGTAGCTCACATTTAAGCAGTTAGAATAGGGTCAATTTCATTTCACTCAATATATGTTTTTTTATGAAGGACCCAGAATGCCATACAAATAATCATGTTTAAAATAATACTAACGCATAACGCTCAAAGTTTTGGACTCCATAAACAGTGAGAAGAAATAAATTACAAGAGATATGGAATTACATGCAGTATGAGCAACAGAAACCTCACATAGTGGTTTGTCTATATATCTGAGTTGCCAGCATGCTTTGATGTTCTTGATGAATTTTGTACAATGACTAGTTTAAAAGAGGACAAACAGTACTTGATTAACCGGATTTGTACCTTATTACTTAGGAAAAAAGTTAATGAGAAGTAGATCAGAATTTCTCCCATCACACATACAAGCAACAAACAAGTTATTTTCATATATTTCAAAGGTTATTTGTTATAAATTAAAAACTGTCTACCTAAGAGTCTATCCAAACCCATATTGCTTAGTAAAGTTAGCATTATTTTATCCTGAAATTGCAAACAAACATATCAGTAAATAAACATATTTATGTTCACTGGATAAACCTGTGCACTAAATCATCCAAAAAAAAAAGGCAAAGGTGGTAAGAGTTAAGCATGATTTACACAGTATATGCTATTCTCAAAATATTTTTAAGATATAGTTTACTCTCTTGAAACTAGCAAGGGCCTTGCTTAACTAACTAGTAGAGAAACTGTGATAAAGAATACTCAAATGGCTCAGCTGTAACTTGACCAAGCTCTGGGATAACTAGTAGGAAGTCATGATACATTGAGTCCTGGATTTAACCTTTATCCATTAAATTGTATTATTCTGAACAATTAAGATGAAACACCTGAAACAGGGAGTGGTGACAAGTGACACATGGACACAGCTAAGCACCTAAACAAAGCTGTTTATCCCTTCTATCAGAAGGTGTCCTTCCAGCTCTGTGACTACAAGGCAGCAGAGCACAAATTACTTTCTCTAGCAATTGCTAGTTTGCTAAGAAAGGGACACAAGCTGTACTTTACTCTTTGGTGCATTGGACAGATTCCTGGAGATGCACTGCTTGATTTATATTTGTTTGTTTTAATAATTTACCCAGATTCTGCAGAAAACCAATTGTAGGAATTCCCAGACAGGACCTGCAACACTTGTTTTTGATATTTTCTTAACACAATAATCTGACCATTAGTCTCCTACCTAAACATTTCCTAAGGATACCTTACAGTAATTTTCCCGTTGAACTAAGACTAAACAATATCATAAATACTGTTTTAAGCCTATAAGCAAATTTAGTACGATATTTTAAATAATAGGCATATCATGACGACTTATTCTTACCTACACCCAGGAGTTCCACAGCAATGTTTGTTATGCCGTTCTCTGCAGCCAGGACAGATCGCCACTCCAAGAAATGGGATGCTACTAGGGTTGTCTCACCAAACGTGTCTGTTTTGATCAGAACCATGTGCACTGGATCACATATAGATAACATGGTGGTTGCATCCACCATTTTACTTCCATCACCTGCCATTATTAAACCAAGATAAAATAGCCAGCATATTATTATCTCAAGTTCTCCTTCAAATTAAGTGAAAGATACACATCAACACCGCATTTTAAGAAAATCTTGCACCTAGAAGCATAAACAACAATCCTATCTTAAAATCAAACTCAGATTACGATGGAGCTACAGCAAGATTACCATCAATTCAGATAGGGGATAGAAAGATTACTTGATTTGACTACCCTAGTGTAAATGGTTTAATTGTACAAATTAAAAATGGGATTAACATTTAAGAAAGTAAATATTAAAGTACCACTAAGTAAAAGCAATTGCAAACACGCTCTTTGTAACTTTGAGTCTATTTACTATACCCCCCTGAATTTCTATAGGACTCAGACAGCATCAAAACGCTCTTCCTTTATCCCACCAGCTTAAGTCTTCCCTATTTATTCCACAAGTCTTCCCTTACCATTTAACTCCTACCATGCTCCCTGGCTACCAACAGCACAGGTAATGCAGACTGGAGATAACTGCCTGTTCTGCAGACATCTCCTGCCTGGTAGGCAAACTGAATGTACAATGACGTTTTCCCTTCCATACGGTGACAAGTTTACATCTCTCTTCACAGAAGAGTTGAGGTTGGACGGGACCTCTGGAGGTCATCTGGTCCAACTCCTCTGCTTAAAAAGAGCAGTTTGTCCAGGATCACGTCCAGGAGGCTTCTAAAGGACCTCCAGGGAGATACTGCCCCCTTCTTCACTTGTAAGCACAAAGCTTGTGAAAATCACAGCCATCTTAGCATCTCTTACCATCCTTAAGGTTACTATCTCACTGTCATTTCTGGATAAAGTAACTTTTAAATTAGACCAACTTTAGAGTGAAAAATAAGTAAGAATAGAGAGAGATGTAGAAGTAGCAAAACCTAATAGAGCTATCAATTTCCCTAGGCAAACATGATTACGGGAAAAAAAAACAACCAAATAATATTAAATAATATCAAATATATTTCAGAATAACTATAAAGTCAGGGAAAGGAAAAAAAAAACACCACAGTACCAGTTCCTTACCTAGGCTATCCTTGTGTACTTCAAGTAAAAAACCATCATTAAAGTCCGGCTCACAGGCACAGGGAACAGGTTTAGAACGGAAGCGCTGATTTCGGAAATGTAAACACAGAGTGAAAGTAGAACAGATTTGGCCAGGCAGAGGATCTGGTTCCTGAAGATGTTCCAGAAAAGCTTTCCCACCCAGAACCTGAAGGTAAAGATACCTTCGTGTTGGGTCAATGTTAGCTGTAAAGCGTAGCAACAAAAATGAAGAGACTACAAAAACAGCACTTAGGAAGCACATTAAATATCAGCTACCTAACAGGAGAATAGAAATGTGATTTTTTTTTTTTCCACAAACAAGTCCTTAGAAGAAAGTGATTTTAAAATACACAGAAACTATCTTAATGCAAAATGAGTGAAACCCTTACAAGTCAAACTTTAAGTGACATTAATATCTGCTGCTTACATGAACTGCTATCCTTTAGATAAGCAGGAAAGACATTTATTTCTCCACAGTTTGGAGGTTTTAAGTGAATCCTGTCCATACTGGACTACTAATTTCACATTTAATAATCATACACTTCAAATTTCTTTCTAGACTATGATCAAAAAAAAAAAGAATAAACAAGCAACATACTTTTTTTCAGAACTGGTGGTTCTCTAGCAACAAAATGTGTTGATGGTTTTGAAGCAGAAGTCCTCTCCTTTTCATTCACATCCTGGAATCATAATTAAGACACTTTTACGGTATCAAGCGAGGCAACAGCACTATTCCCACAGTATTCTAAAATGTAAAGAATCCTCCATTTCAAATGAATGTCATTCCTTGTGTATGCTCCCTTCTAGTACGTGAGACTTAAAACTGAACAAATACTTTCAATATAGTATCATCATTAGATCTACTTTAGTACACACATTATGCTGCTCTGCTCTCAGAACATCACAAATCAGTAAACCCTCAGGAACCTTTAGAAGTAAATTCCAGCATCTAAAGGGGGCCTACAGGAAAGATGAATAGGGACTCTTTATCATGGAGCATAGGGATTGGACAAAGGGGAAGAGCTTTAAGCGAAGAGAGATCTAGATGAGACGTTTGGAAGAAATTCTTCCCTCAGAGGACGCTGAGGCCCTGGCACAGGTTGCCCAGAGAAGCTGTGGATGCCCCATCCCTGGAGGTGCTCAAGGCCAGGCTGGATGGGGCTTTGGGCAACCTGGTCTGGTGGGAGGTGTCCCTGCCCATGGCAGGAGGGTAGGAATCAGGTGATCTTTAAGGTCCCTTCCAACCCAACCCATTCTGTGATTCTACGATTCTAGTGAGTTATAACTTTGTCAACACACTACACCAGTGAGAAGAATAAGCAGAAATTGTATCCTCCCTCAACAGCTACTTACAGTTACAAATTTAAGTTCTTTCATAACATCATCAACGATTCCTCGTTGCCTTAAGGCTTTTATCAGATCTTCTGTGGACAGCTGCTGATGCTCAGGTGCTAGCTCCTCACGTATGGTCTCAGCAAGAACTTCTCTGATCCTGCCGTGGACATCCATCTGAAAGAAAATGCAAGATAGGCTACAACTACGAGCCCTTGATAGCAGTTATGACTAAAGTCTCTTACTTATGACTCTGTAAGAGTGCAGGAACGTGGAAATAGCTACTCCATGAGGATTACTCCCTTTTTGCACGCAGTTAAGTCTTTTAATTTAGTAGGAACTAGTCAAAGAAGTTACATTATCTCCCAAAATCCAACACTTGGAGTAACCGGGTCTTAAGCCGTGAGGAATAAAGCTCAGGGGCAGGACTCCTCCCCTCACGCACCTTGAGGAGCTGCCGCTGGATGAGCTCCCGCAGCTCCGCGGCTCGCTCGGGGGACAGCGACATGGCGGCGGCCGCCATGAGGGGAGGGGAGGGGGGGGGAGAGCCCCGCCCCCAGCCGCCCGCCAACGGTCGCGGCGCGAGGCGGGCCGTTAGCGGCCGTTACCGCCCCGCTGAGGCGGCTCGGAGAGGCGAGGCTCAGCTCAGCGAGGCTCCCTCAGCTCCTCGGCCGGCATGTTCGTCCCCTGCGAGGGCGGCGGCCCCGAGCTGCAGGGCTTCACGCTGCTCATGGTAAGCGCTGCGGCGGCTGCTCTGCCGCCTTGAGGCCGCCCCTGGGCGCCGATGAGGGGAGCCGGCTGCGGGCCTGGGTACAGCTCCCCCCACCCCCCCAGCAGGGCTCCGCGCGTTGCTTTCCGTTTCCGTCGGTTCCTCCCTCTTCAGCCTCCCCCCGGTGTCGTTGCTGAGGAGCTGGGCGGTGTTTGCTGGGCTGTAGTTAGGTGCTCTCCCTCTCAGGTTAATTAACATGGCACGTTTCGTTTCGCGACGTTTGCAGGTCCTGTGGGTCGGCACTGGAATAAATATATGCATTTTTTTTTTTCATTTAGTTGTTGTATTTACGTTTTCTGTGGAAAAAAAATCCTCATTTGTGCTGTATTCAGACTCAGATCATGAAATAATCATTTTTTTTTTAGGATTAAGAAAGTATTTTAATCGTTTTCAAGCCTGCTGTGAAACCAATTGACGATGATCAGCCTGAGACTACTTAGTTTATTTTGGGATAAGAGTTCCTGTCAGGCTGGGAGGTACTAAGCCATTAATTTTCCTTCTCGTAAGTTCCTTTAGTGTCTTATTTATAAGCAGCTTCACCACTGTTCATCTCGAGAGCTACTCAGCCCCTTGGGGCTCGATGATCCTTGTGGGTCCCTTCCAGCTCGGGGTATTCTGTGATTCTGTGACTGTGAACTCACATGGGTGCAGGAAATCATTCTGGATCAGCTGACTAGTCAGAGGAAACAGGTCACAGCGTTTCCTTCAGCTAGGGTACCGAGCTGTCCAATAGCAGCCGGCTTGTAGTGACAGTCTCTAAGCACCTGTAAGGCCGCTTTTGCTGTGAGCTTGTCAGGATCAGATCCGCTGTGTTTCCGCGTGTGGTGCCAGTTTGGGCATTAGCAAAGTTGTAGGCACGGACTTGCCTAGAAGTCACAGGGAAGCAACTGAAAATGTCATCTGTCATTGCCAGTATCTGTAAAAGGACACAAATGCTTGAAATTCTCTTTCTGTGCTGTTTTAATTAAAACAGTGTCTGTCGGGCTTGGTGATAACCCATGGCAATTCCTACAAAATGAATCCAAGATGACATCCATCCTTACAAGAAAATGGAAAATGCCCTGTGTATATTGGTCAAACTGACGCTTACAGTCTTAGGTGTAATATCAACATTACCATTAGGTGTCACTTGAGGCCGCCCAATCTCTGCGTTCATTTTTAGAGTGACTTTTACCTACCCCGTACCCAAAAAGAGGAAGGGAGGGGACAAGTTTCCAAGCCTTGGTTCAAGTTTACAGCAAGACACCATTAGTCACAGAAGTGGACAGTGGGTTTCTGTGGGACAGGGACCAACCTAATAGTCACCTTTGTTAGAAGATGAGCTGCCACTTTAAGAAATCCTGTGTTTAACCAGAATTATTCTAACTTGAACCTTTGCTATTTGAAGGGTGTATTGTTTTGTCCGTAAAACACACTGTAAAAAACACACCTTGATTCTGTAACTTCTTTTACAGCCAGCAGTGTCAGTGGGAAATGTTGGTCAACTGGCAATTGATCTAGTGATTTCCACGCTTCGCATGACTAAAATTGGTTACTTCTACACGGACTGCCTGGTGCCGATGGTTGGCAATAATCCGTATGCAACATCAAATGAAAATTCGGTGGAGCTGAGTATAAATGCTGAAGGTGTGTATTGAATGCTGGTGATATTGGCAAGAAGGTTACATTTACTTGTGTTGTTACACTTTGCTTATGTGAACAGTGTTTAAACTAAGGTCAGGAATAACAACTTCAATAACTAAATCTCTGACTTACAGATAAGAATGTATTTACACTTCGCAGAGGAAACTGTTACTCATGTTATTTTGGATAACCAGTTTGGCATATGGAACCAGTAAGAAATGTTGACTCTTGACCATATTACAGTGCAGCCAAAGCTATCCATAGTTCTAACCCTAAGCAACACGCAGTGTGCACATACTTAAAGCGAAGTGCTGGAATGCAAGCTGTGTTCTGTGGAGAAAGATACTTCACTTCCTCCTCATCACCTGTGTTTGCCTTGTTGATCCTCTGCCCCCTTTAAATTCTCAGGATTTTTCCCTGTCTGCATCACTAAATTTCTATTGTTTTCATTTCTTTTTCTTCTAAATCACAGAAATTTCAAAATAATCTTTGCAAAGCTGTATAAAGAGATTATCTGAATGATTACAGGAAGCAGATCTTCAAATATTTTACTTCATTCAATCCTTTGAATTTATAATGAGTGAGATTAAGTTCAATGAAGACAGTGCATAAAATAGGTATTTATTTTTAACAGTAGTCAGGCTTTACAGTAATTGGATTTGATAGCTGAAAGGTTTACCGTCCTCAGGTTTGTAAAGTGGATAAATCTAAGCCTAGATTTCTTACGTGCTTTCTTGTGAAACTCAGTTATTTCTCCTTGTAGTGTATTCGTTACCTTCGAAGAAACTTGTAGTTCTGCAGATCAGATCGCCTTTCATAAAGGTATGTATGTTCACCATTGTTCTGAATTCACTATTCAGTAGTTTCTTTGGTTCTGCTGGCAAATCATTTAAGTGGCATGGGTGAATTTTATGGCATTATTCAAACAGACTAAAGAAGCACAACCAGAACTCTGCCAGGTTAAAAGGCATTTTGTTAAAAACAACACAGACCAAACGCTAACAAAATGTTTTTGTCATTGCTGCTACAACACCTTTTGCTGCTAATACAATTTTAGATCAAAGCTGATGTCTGCTTTCAAAAAGGATTGAGGTTTTGTTTTGTTTTTCCAAGGCCCAGAGCACTTATATCAGTAGATTCCGGTGTTCATGTGACCTTAGTTATTAATAGCCTGGAACAAAACAAAACACAAAATTTTGTGGGTTTTATCCATTTCTCTTTTTTTTTTCCCTTACAGTTATTTGTGTATTTGTCTTTTATTGTAATAATAATATAATATTACAATAATAGCTCTGTCACTCCAATTGAATTATTTCAGTGTTCAGCATTCATTTAAACTGCTCTCATTACACTCATTGTGTAAAAGTGAAGACTTTAAAACTACTCATTAACTAGACACGGGCTGTAATGTTAAATGAGCAGAATACCACTCCAGACAAGAAATGGTACCGCAGTTTTTGGCAAAGTTTGGCAAAATAGAGTGTGAATTTAGCATTAGTATCAATGGCATGCAAAGGGGGAAGTACTGTTATTCAAAACTGTAGTTTTGTATTTTAAACTGTAGTTCTGTATTTTAAATTGTAGTTTTGATCAAGTAAACAGCCAGTCCTCTGCTTTCTAAAACCAAATCTGGAAGTGAAAAACTAAAGGGATATGAAGAAAAATCGAGATCATTGCTGAGTATTAAATATAACATCTAGTATTGTCAGCTTTGGGCTTTTCTTTTTTTAAGGACACAATACATTTCTCTTTTTTTCTTTGTCTCTGCATGAAGAACAAATACAGGCCATTCTGCCGAGCACTGCTTTCTTGGGTAGAAAGCAGCAAATGTGCCAGAGTCATTCTTTTGTCCAGCAGCCACGCATACCAGCGCGATGATGAGCAACTTCTTGGGTATGTTTGTGTATTAATTAGATCTTGAAAGATCTAATTAATGTTCATGTTCTCTGGCAAACTGGCGTGTTTCCCTCTGTGTAGTACTTTTGGTAGGGTTCTTCTGCTTTGCTGTATAGGTAGGTCATAAAATACTATTATGTATTAAATAAATAAATACTAAAATATTATTAAAACAGAACATTGTACAGCACTTTTCTCTGAACTTTGTTAGTAACAGCTTATTAACAGCTTAGGTAGTAACAGTGAATTGCACTTGGCCTGCACCGTCAGTTGGCCTCAGAACATCAGTTTTAACTTCTTCATTTCTCGTGGCTGCAAGTCAAGGATTAGCTGCTAACATACAGGCCACAGATTATATATTTAACATTTAATTAGAATGTTAGTTTCTCTTAACCTCTTGTTGATTATTTTGCATTTTGAGGATTTTCTAGCGCCATAGAATAATTCTGTCACCAGACTCACTGAAGAGTGCTGGTAACACATTCAGAAAACATTCAACTTTAATGAAGCCTGCAGGTATCTGTAGTGTGAGCTTTTAAAAATACACACAGTGAACTCTGAGCTTACTTTAACTAACTTTAATAGAATCAGTTCCCATGTGAAGGAATAAAAACCGTTTATATGTACATCATTTTAACAGCAACAGTTCTCCTACTGATGTGCTTATGTATCTGGTACTTACCCTGTAACAGGTATATTTGGTTATATTTGTGGCAGAAAGTTGGGTATATTATTTTGAACCCAGAAGTACTTCTTAACTTTGACTTGGGGAGGAAGGGAATGTCACTGCAATATATCATTGCAGGTTAGAGGTCCTCCGTGCTTGTACTTCCTTTCTGTCACAAGCGCTAACTTCAGTGCTGTCTCTTATTGTCACCCTGAGTGTGTTCTTGATCTGTTCCTAGAACACCACTGCGCTACCTGCTTACACCAGCTCTAGAGAAAGCAGTTGAAGGCCGTATGCAGGAGCTAAAGTGGAAAGAAATGGAAAAAATAGCAGCTTATCCTGGAATAAATGATAGAGAAAAAGTTCTACATATTCCTGGAGGTGGCATCACAAAACTACTGTTTACTGAGAGGTGAGTTGCCTGAAGATAAACACAGAAAGGTATCAGAGGTCCTGATTTCAGTGCATGAGTAAAATTATCTTTTAAAGTGGAAAGTTGTAGGAAAAAAAAGTCCTCTTCTCATAGAACAGAGTTTTGTAGGAATAGAACTTGCAGATCCAGCCCATAACTAAGAGCACATTTAGAGAATATAATGTATTGTATTTATAAAATAGGGAAATCTGCTGTTCCCAAATATTGACGTAATAGGGAATTCTATTCTAGGCAATGGAAAATAGGGAATTCTGCATCAGAAAGCTTAAAATATGATAAAAATATGAATGAATGGGCTAAAGGAGAGAATAAATCCTTTACAATTAAGATCATTGTTAATTTTGCATCTGATTTTATGCAGACCACAAATGGTAGTGAGATACCCTGTGCCATTTTAAATAAAACAGTCAGACCCTTGTGACAAATAGTTCCATCACCAGTTGCAAAGAAATTCTGAACACTCAGAAAGAGTTCAGATTTCAGGGCCAGCAAACAAAACTGATCAGTTGTGCATTTTTTTTTTTTTACTTATTTATTTATTTAGTTAGTTAAAAGATGTGTGCATTCAAAATTGTGGCAAAAGCATGTCCAAGTGTCAAATTTTGGGTAGTAAAACTCGTGGTAAATAGGGTTAGCTGTGCAAAAGGTGTTTGTTTTGTAAGTGTCAGGTGGAAAATTTAAGAATTTTTCCTTAGCTGTTCTTTTTGACACCCATCTAAACAGCTGCATCTAACAGCAAGAATGATACTAATATGATGCATACGTTTGTATTAACTTCAGTTATGGAAGCAATATATAAATGCAAAAGATAAGACCTCTCAGCACTTGCGGGGTGGGGGAACACAAAAACCTTCACGCCTAAATGAATAAACCATGGTGATGTTAAAGGAAACTGAACTGTGAGGATAGAAAATTAATAAAGTTGCTGTGGCACATCCATAGTAGAAATTGCATTTAGTTTAAACTGTCCTGGTTTTGGCTGGGATAGAGTTAACTTTCCTCTTTATAGCTGGTACAGTGCTGTGGTGTGGATTGTTGATGAAAACGATGTTGATAACACAGGGATGTTTCAGTTGCTGCAGAGCAGTGCCTACACAGCACCAGGGGCCTTTCTGCTCCTCATGCTGCCCTGCCAGCGAGGAGGCTGGGGGTGCACCAGGAGCTGAGGGGGACACAGCCAGGACAGCTGTCCTGGGCTGGCCAAGGGATGTCCCACACTGTGTGGGGTCATGCTCAGCAACAACAGCTGTGGGCTGCTGCTGCTAGGGAGCGGCTGAGCATCAGTCAGCAGGTGCTGAGCAATTGCATTGTGCATCGCGTGGTTTGTATATTATTTTATCATTAGTATTTTTCTCCCTTCCTTTTGTGTCCTATTAAATGGTCTTTATCTCAGCCCATGAGTTTTTTTGATTTGTTTTTCCCCCCTGATTCTCTCCCACATCCTGCTGTGAGATGGGGGCAATGAGTGAAGGCTGCGTGGTGCCCAGTCACCTGCCATCTTCAACCACAACACTGATTGACTCTCTTTTGTGGCCCTTTGAATAGCTGGTATCACTTTCCAAAAAAAAAAAAAAAAATGCAGTCTCTGGATCTACCTAACTTATTAACCTGACAGCTGTTATATATCTGATTTTACCACAAATATTTTACCACAAATAGTATTCCTGGTCTAACGAAGGAAATTGTGAACTTCAGCATGTGTTTTTGCAAAATATATGCTTAAATCTGCTCTGACTTCTGGTTTGAATGACTTTTCCCTGAATGTTTAAATAGCAAACAGGGCTCGGAAAGGTTTGTTCATTGGTAGTAGGCAGAGGTGGATGAGTAACATCATCCCTCTGAGAAATATTTCCAAGCTCTGTTGTGCTGTCTTTAAATTCATCTCATTAAGTTGGAGATTGGCTTTTGAACAATGTCATACACATTTTTACTGTTTTTATGTTTGAAGATGCATCCCAAATATCTCTTTATTCTCTCTGATATTGGTAATGCTTTGCCTTTAAAAAAGTCTTTATTCATGTCATAATTGAATGTGACTATATGTCTAATGTTTTGCTTTAAAAGACTTAGGCAAAAAAAAGAAATCCAGACATTTTTGCTTTAATGACTTGTTCAGTTGGTACGTACATGCTTTGATTTGAACTACATGAATATTTAAGTTCACATAATTCATAGAATCCTTCTCTTCTCCCTGTTGATTTTGGGGAGAAAAGTGAAACTTTTAATTTGTTTTGAAATACTAGTAGAATTTCAGCTAAATATTACAGGAAGTGAGAAGCCTTCAGGCTCAGATACAATGGAAATTGTTCCATGTGAGATTAATGCTGAATGTGTAAGGCCATTGTATCAAAAGAGGTATTTCAAGAATGCATGTGTTAATTTTCTCAGGTAGCTGTCCTTGGCTAGATTTTAATGTTCTTTTTCTGACACTGTTGTCAGTTTCCTTCCTAGATATTAATAATAGTAATTAGCAATAAATTTCTTCCTACTCTTAACTGTCAGCTCTCCTGCTCTGCCTGCTTGGAGCTTGTTTTCCCATGTTCCACCACGTGCTTTCTTAAAATGGGAATATTGTGAATAAAGTAGTGATATGCAGCCTGCAAAACTGCTGTTTGAAGCACATAGAAAGAGAAGGAGGGATCTGTATAAATGCCCCAACAGTGCAAAAATGCAAACCAAGGATATGAAAGGATCCCCAAATAACCCTGCCATGACCTAGGATTCTTGCCTTACAAAGCAAAGAACAAGTTCAAGATTTAGAAGGAAATCATGAAGTATGAAAACGCAAACAAGCAAATCTTGAGCGGGGGGGGGGGGAAAGAGAAATATATTTCATAGGCATATGTAAGGATTGTGTGTATATATATATATAAAAGTCTGTATTTTCCTATTTTTGTATATTTTTTTTAAACAGACAACATGCAGATTGTTGCACTTAATAAATAAATATTTCTGTTCTGGATTTATAAAAGAAACAGAAATGCCTGCTTGCTTCTTGTTGCAGTTGTTCAAAAGGAATCCAAATGGCAGTTCTTCTGAAATTCTGCTCGGAAGGGGACAATATCCCTGATGCATTTGCTCTTGTTAATTATCTTAATGAATGGCTCCAGCTAATTAAAAGCAAAGTAAGTGCTGTTTGATCTAGAGTTCTTGCTTTAATATTTTGTATTGTTTATTTTCATTTTTTGCATCAATTGGGTCAAATTTTGCCCTTGGTTATAAAGAACGGGCAAAATTAAAGATATATTTTGATTAAAATCTCACTAGGAAGTTTCCCACAAAAAAACAAACAACAAAAAACACTACAGCCTTGTTTAACAGGTGTGGGAGGGAAATTGTGTAAAGTTTTGATCTAGTTTAATCTTCCAGAACTCTTCTCTAAAGCAATCCACAGTGATACTGACATTTGAAAGGCTGCCTGTTATTTTAATATGTATGCCAGAGAGTGAATTACATTAAATTGCTTTAATGTTTAAAACTTGAGAGTTACTCTGTCGTTGTTGCAGGGAAGCCATTCCACAGATATTTCTCCAGAACAGGAAATACCAGATACTTCTTCACAATGGAAAATACCGAGTTCTTGGCGCTTACTTTTTGGCAACGGTCTTCCACCTGCACTCTTCTGATCCATTTTGAATTCTTCTGTAAGTTGCATATATACAGCCTAGTCTCAAACACCCCTTGAAAAGATGATTTTATAGTAATTGCCAAGCAACAGCAACTTAATTTGTTAGGTACATAAATTCCTGGTTTAAGAAAAAAAACCTTTCATATATGCGGCTAACAAAGGAAATAAAGGTAACTTTCAGAAATTGACCAAAGTAATATGTTCTGTACAGTTTATTGAATAAGTTTGGTTATTTTTTTATTTTTTAAATAAAATGTTAAAAACAACAACAACAATTATTTGGTTAAGTATTATTGCACTGGAAAAGCTCATGGTACCCTTCCATAGCTGAAAACTTGAGATAGATGTGCAGGTTTTTTTAGATCTTTTTAGAAAGATAAGATCCTGTTGTTCCATGTTAACTGTGGATCTTGTTTCCAACCCCCCCCTCTCTCTCCCTCCCCGCTGATGTAAGTAAAGCTCAGAAGTGATCTTTCTGCCTTCTTTTCCCAATGCTGGTGTAGTAGCTTCAGCTGGGGGGACTAAGTGCTGCATGGCAGCCTGTTCTCTCTCTTCTAGCCTACCTCCACGGTATAATTTCCATCCTTCTTCCAAGCACTGCTGAGATGCTGAAATTAAAGCTTCCTAGGTAGACAAGCCGTCTCAGACTAACTTGAGGACATTTATAGTGCCCTGAAACACAAAGGAAGTAAAACGCTGCCTTGGTAGCAGGCAGCCTGTTGCTACTTGGGTATTGTATCAGCCTAGCATGCAGTGCTGGTTTGGTGAGGAGTAATTCACATGTTTAATGTTTGTAATGGTACTTGTTGCATTGTTAAGCTGCATGTTCAGTTTTGGTCTTTTATTTATTTTGGCTCACAGTCTTTTATTTTATTTTATTATTTTTTATTTTTTTTCAAAAAAACTCAGCCTGCAGGGAGGCAGTGTGTATAACCTTTGGCATTTTGCTACATACAAATAACAAGCCCGACCGGGGTTTCCTGCAGCTGCTAACAGCAGGCATTAACTTTGTTCAAGGTCTGGAATATTTTGTGTAAATATAAAATAAGCAAGGTTCTAAAAAAAGCATTTGGAATACTAAGTCAACTTCTGTGATTTTTTAAGTGACACAAAAAAAATCTGAAGGTTAAAACCTTATTTAGGCAACAAGTAGTGTTGCTTGGGCATGCACAGAAAATTAATCAAATAGTAAAATGTACTAATTGGTTGTATTGATCAGGATGCAGTGTTAGGTATGCTGAATGGTAATGGGGGTGGGATGCAGCATTTCAGAAGGTACTTAGGTGCAGAGCAATTTTCATCAAAAAGCAGCTGTGATAAATTAAATTCCAAGCCTTACTAATTTTGTTTGCAGCAAGGAGAAGCCATGATAAAAATCTAGGAGAGGGAAAGCAACAGCAAGGGGGAGTTGGACCACTGGACCACAGCAGAAGCATTCAGAAGTTTTCTGAGGCATGGAAGTTTTGTCTTTCTTTCTTTTACAGATGACAGATTAAGGTACAATTTTTCAGGAAAATAGTCTCTTGGATAGCTTAGATACTCAGATAGTTTAGTAGTTTTTATTGCTGTCATTTTGAATAAACCAGTACTTACATTAAAAACATCTTTGGAAAATGTATCCACTTGGTTTCAGAGAAGATGCTGTCCTTCCAACTGCTATTCCTTCAAAAGTACATATTCTTCTATATTCCTGTTCTAAAATCCATTTGTGCTATAACTTGGAGAACATATAATGCGTGAAGGTACGAGGTAAGTTCCTATTTATAACACAGTGACAAGATCTCTAAGAAAATGCTAAGTAACACTTGAATGTATTTTAACCTAAATGCACCTTCATGTGGTTAACTAACAGTAATCAGGGTGAACTTCCTGTCCCCCTAACATATTCTTCTACAGTTTCTTAATCTGTTATTCTAAATCTTGCAATAAATTTGTGAAAAAAAAAGGTAATGGAAAATACAAAATGATATTTGGTTCTAGTTTGTTGAATTGACTGAACTTTATAGTGGTACTAGTCACACAAAGATTTACACTACTAGAATCTCTTTTCAGCTATTAACCAGAAGAGGCATGAAATCTAGTATTTGCAAGCAGTTAAAAGGCTCATAGTTACTATTTTTATCACCTAGAGCTCTTTTAAAATTCTGTATGCTCTTGAAGGTTTTGATGAACTCCACGCTCAAAACTTCACAGACTCCCAAAGCAGCTGGCACTGTCAGGGCCCTCTTGGAGCCCTGCCCCAGCAGGGCCACCCAGAGCAGGGTGCCCAGCACCACGGCCAGGCAGCTTCTGAAGGTCTCCATGAGGAGACCCCACGGCCTCTCTGGGCAGCTTGTGCCAGTGCTCGGCCACCCACACAGCACACAAGGGTGGCCTGGGGCTCAGAGCCTGTGCCTGCTGCTCCTTGTCCTGGTGCTGGGCACCACTGCAAAGAGCCTGGCTCCATCCTCATGGCGCCTTCCCCTCAGGTATTTACAGACACTGATGAGATCACCCTGAGTTTCCTGTTCTCAAACTGAACAGTCCCAGCTTTCCCATAGAGGTGCTCCAAAAACTTCATCACCTTCATGGCCCTGTGTTGGGCTCTCTCCACTGTATCCCCATCTCTCTTGTACTGGGAAGCCCAGCACTGGACACAGCACTACAGGTGCAGTCACCAGTGCTGAGGGGAAGGATCATCTTCCTTGACCTGCAGGCGATGCTTTATCCACCTCGTTTCCCCAAGTCTGAGGACAGCTCTGCCCCTCTAATGCAGAAGTCTTTCCCTCCACCTTGCACAGCCCATCAGACCAACTGTGAGCTGAATTACCGCATCTTCCAGTTAGGAGTTTGCAGGCATGAGAACATTACCTCAGCTTGGTGTTTTTAACCAGCACGATGCCTTGTTACCTTTGACAGCCATCCTCTGTTGTAAGAACTGGTCTGTGTGTTTCTTCAAATGAGGCAGAAGCAGCACACAATTATCACTACTGCAGAAATACCTGTTCTAGTTCTTGGGTTATGAGCTACTTACCAATAGTCAGGATGAAGCCTTGAACATTCCAGACACAAACTATTTTTTTCGTATATTAGTAGAAACAGTGAACCCCATGGCACAACCAGATGATAGGATTCCCTAGAGTAGTGCTCATTGTTCAAAAAAAAATTTTTTTTAATTCAGGGTCATAACTGTAGTGTCTCTTGCAACTACAAGTACCCAGCATCTATCTGAAACCCAGGCAGCAGAGGCCAGATTGTGGCAAAGATGATTCCTAAAGCAGCGACTGGAACTGTTTGCAAAATGCTGCAGTTACAGGAGTTCCTTGGAGTCTAGGAACTGACTAATGGAGCTAGCTGGGAGGCAGAAATGTGTTTTAGATACAAAAAATACACTGAAACTATGCCTCAGCTGCAAGAAATGCATCAGAGCCTACGCTTTTATTATTTTCTTTAATCTTCTGATGGAAGATTGAGCAGCTTGGCATGGAGTAGAGCAGTGAGTACTGACAGCTTTGGGAAGCGGTAACGGGGGAGCGCAGCAGCCTAAAGCCTGAAGAAGGAGAAGGGGCTGCTTTGTCCTCTGGGCTCCCACTCCTTCCAGCCCCAGGGCTAGAAACTCGTTTCCCCCCTCAGCTGGCAGCCTCCTTTCTGCACGCAGGTTTCACAGCAGCCAAGACCCACAGCTCTGCACAGAGCCAGCAGGTAGGAGGCACCTGCAGGAACCCCCTGAGCCAGCTCTCAATAAAAGCCACCAGACACGGCCCCACTTTCAGGACCACTCACTCTTCGCCCCTGCGCCTGCTCACAAAGCTAAGCCTAAAACCAAAGGCAGGCAGCTCAGCTGAGGGAAGCAGTCTGAAAAACTTCAAGAACATTTTGAGAACAGAGTCCAGTGTGGAGAAGGGCCAAGGTACATTCAGCGGTCAGCACTCCATGCAGTAAGACAAATGAGTTGTGCAGTTGATAGCTATCTGAGATGGCAGCGGGTCATAATGAAGTGTACACATGCATTCCCACTTAGTCCTACACATTATGTTCACTTGCAATCCAAAGATAACAAAAATAATGAAAATATAAATCTTCATAAATCTTAAGCTTAAATTAAAAGCCCTGAATTGCTGAAAGCTGTATCCAAAGATGTGTCAAGTGATAAGGACAGGCCCTGTGCCCGTATTCAGCAGTGCTGGGGTTTATTGCAGTGGTTTTGGCCAGACCTTGACCCTTCATTATAGGTACTCCTGGTCTCACAGCCACAACAAGTTGAAAATGAAAGCTTAATCCAATTAGGATGGTGTTTCCTCCTCCAATACATACTCTGAACTATGCTAATCACTTAAATTAAGGTATTTAGACAAAGGAGACCGTTAATTCAGACCATTTCACAATGGTGCCAAGGCTTTTAGCTTAAATAATGGCATAAAGTACCCCCCCCCCCCCCTCTTTTGGCTTCACCTTGAAGATAACTCTAAACACACTTGCTTTCACCTATCAGCCTCAAAAACAAGTCTTGTTAAAATTTCAGGTTACATGGTGTAGCAAGAACAGTGTCCCCAATGCTCACATTCCATGTGTTTTTCTTCTCCCTATTTTCAGTGACTTAATGGTTTGTCCAAAAATCCTGTTACAAAAATATGCGAAGTACAAATTACATGTAAAGCCTCACCACATGCTAGGTTAGACATTTGTATCTAATAACATGCAGCTTTTCAGTGAACTGTGAGGACTTGAGCGAGCACTGAATTTGGCTAACCTGGTTACAGAAGGTACAGGGCTCAAAATGCTCTTGAGGCCATTACACCGACTCCTCCAGCCAGCGATCTGTTCACCCCTCTCCCAGTGGCGCTGTTCAGAACAAGAGGGAGAGCACCGACAGACTGGAGATGTGAAGCAAAACATTACACGTACAACACACTGATGGCACAATCCAAAACCTATTTAATTAACGACTCCATTGACTGCGTGCTTTGCACCTCGCCCTCAGCACCATTAATTGGGCATGCTGGGGTAGCTCCGGCTTTCCCAGCTTCCCTTCCACTAAAGGATGAACAACAAAACATTTCCCCTCCCAGCGCTATTCTGAACATTTTGTGAGTATTTTATAGCAAACATAAGGATTACCAAACCAACTCGTCAGATTAATAAAACAATATTCTTAGTGGTGCATTACAAAAGAAACGTGCAAGTGCTCCTCCCAGCTGAAACTACAATAGTTAGCATTGGAATAATTAAAAATATTTGCATAAAGCCCATTCTAATCAGAATATTTCACAATTTTCTAGTTAAGATAGGGTTTCAGGAAATCTGAAGGTGAAACATTTCTGCTTGCTCAAAACAGGCTCTTAACAGTTGCTTCCTAACATAATGCGCACACAACAGCATGTTGTCGATTTAAAAAAATATTTAATGCTGCCAAAAACGTATAAAAATACAATAAGAATGGCAGTACAAAACAAAATATTTCCTAATTTATTTCTTTTACATCTTTCTACATTAATACAGGCATTATAAAAACACAAGACAGCAAATTATTTTGTTTTGCAAAGTAGCATGCTGGTGGTGTTCTTCATCCCCTCGCTGTAGTTTACGCTGTAAACAGATAACTGAGGTCTTCTTGGTACTTAACAGACCCCACTTTTGTTCCCGAAGAGGGGCTCATGTCTCGCTTTGCATGTCAATAATTTGCAGTTTATAGCTGCAGAATATTCACAAGTCGCGAAGGCTTAGGTGTCAGTCAGTCTCGGCCTACGACATACAACGCAAAAGAAAGTCACGGATTCAGTACACAGTACGAGGAAAAAGAAACAAGAACAGACAACGGGTCGGCAGCTCGCTATAAAAACACCAGGCAGCTTCTCATGCACTCCCTGCAGTGACTACTGATTGGTTACTGTTTGTCTGTGGCAAGCACTCTTGGAAAGCCGTCGCCTTTCCAGAGGGGATTTCCACATTGCAGTGTACGGCACGCACTTGCTGGAGAGCTTCCAGTATAGGTCAGTCCAGCAAGCCACTTACTTGTGCGTCCGACCACAAGCACTGAGGAGTCTTCTTTGACCTTAGTGGGACTACGGAAGGCCGCATCTCAACAGACTATCATCACCTGTCACAGCTTTGTAGGGCCGCTCCCGGCACAGAGGCATGGAAATCAGTTTCTAGGCAAAGCATGCCCGTACCGAGGAAGACGTTCGGACATTAGACATCTGGTTCTTAGCAAAGGTAGGGCTATGCGCCAAGGAACACACAAAAAACATGGTATTGACAGCACTAAAACACCCTGGGTGCGACAGGTAAAATGCTTCTAAGCTCTGCGAACACTGCAGTGATTTATACGGCAGGTTTCTTTGTTAATTTAGAACACAGTAGAATTTTCTCCCAAGTATTTATCCAATTTAAATAAAGACTCAGACAGAGGTGCAATTTTGAACGCATTTATTTTTCATACATGAAAATGAAAGACTGACCTAAACCTTTGGGGGGCAGCAGGGTTAAAAAACCCAGGAAGACTACCGTGAGTTAGGTCAACTTCACAACTTCCATCCTGTCAGTTAAGCCACTTGGCCATGCAGAAGACTTCCTCTTTTGTCATCAATTCATTAACTTAGTTTCTTGTGCAGTCATCAAGTGTGTCAGGCTTACGTAATAATGCCAAAGAGCAAACTAAATAATTTGGTTAACATTCATTAAACTTAAAGCTAGCCAGGCTTTCTGATTGCCTGCACAATCCAAACACACGTACATGCATACACATTTGCACTTTTTCCCTATTCAGTGGAATATAAATTGATGCAAGTAAACCGTTTCACTGAAGATTTAACAAGATTGGCTAGGTTTCCCTTGCAGTAACTTAATTACATAAAATCTTTTTTTTTTTTCCCAGAATTCTGTTTCACAATGAATTCAAGTCTCTTACTTGACACATTTCAAGAAAAACAAAATCGTACCATCACATCAAGTGGACCATCCCTACATTAAGGATATAATCAAACAGAAAACTTGAACGACTAATTCCAAACCTGCAAACTACTTGCAACTGAGGTCCAAACATTTTTTTTAAATTGGTATTTACTAAAACATGCATGATTTGTATAGAAGTGTTCATCTGAGAGTCAAACACTTTAATTAAATTCTAAGAAGTTCACTATGCATCAAGTATTTTGACTGATGTATTTCCAAAATGGGGAAAAAAACCCAACACAGTAACACTCTGAATCAAAGTACAACAGCATTTTGGAAGTGACACAGAAACAGCCAACAGCTTGCCAGAAACTGGAGGGAAGGAGGAGTAGGTTGTCAGAAGGCGTTTCCTTCATTTTCACTCTTTCTTTAAGCATTTCCTAAAATAAAGGTCACTGGGATTGACAGGTCTTCCATTTTGGCCCACATTTGTTCTTATTTAACATCCGAGTTGTGCACAACTGCTGTAAAGTTAAATCCTACAGAATAACGAAATATCACAAGGGCTCAGTTGGCAGTACAGAAAGCGAGCCTCCTGCAAGTTCAGTTTTTAAAGGATTTTGTCCCAAGTCAGATACTGAGGGAGCAGAAGAGTTTTACCCAAATTATTGCCTGGAATACTCTACAAGATCTAATGCTTAATTTCCTTCCTACTCCCATGGCACAATTCACTGGTCAAAACAATTTTGTCTTAGACTTATATTAGTTAGTTTTTCTTAAATTAAGATCAATTAGACTTTGAAGAGCCTTACAAGGATGCAACCAAACTGAATTTTTACCTATCAACTGCTAAATATCCTAGTTCTACTTTATTGCATCAGGAAGGTGAAAGCCAGATGATCTAAGAAGGCTCCCTCAGGCCCTGCCTCACATGCTCTCACCCAGAAAAGCAGAATGCCTCCTCAGGATTCAAAGAACAAAAAAGCCAAATTTTAGAAGATGGAAACGGGGAAAATTTCAAGGGACAACTTGACAAGACACAAGTTGAACTCAGTATCTGCATGATGTTGGTGGCCCAGGAAAATTCTTCTAATGCAGACAGAAAGTTCATAAATGACGTTTTCACCGAAGTTTTTGCCTGCACTTTTTCCATAGCTGCTTTTAAGCATTTTGAATAAAATCTGGAATATTTCTTTGCTATAAAAGCATTAGTTACATTCCACATTTTTTTTCCATAACCAAAACATCTTTTATAAGGCACATAAATTTATACTGTGTCAGCTACAGCTAATATTTTAAAAAAAAATCTTCCCAATTTTAAAAATAAGAATAATAAAACAAAAGAATCTTCCAGCAAACCTGTTGTTGGCTAAGTTCCTGTGGTTTTCAAAATTATGGGTGCCTTAAAATATGTAAGCTGGCTGCCAATAGTGCGTCACAGCCATCAGCATGTCATTTTGCTATTATAGCTGTATAATAGCAAATTACACAGCCAGTAATGCCACAATACAAATTATCTTTGTTTTACTGACACATGACTTCCCAAATACATAACTGTATGTTCCAAGAAACTACACTTTTCCTTATCTGGACACATAAGCATTTGTTTACTATATAAACAGTGCAGTCCAAAATAGTATTAACTATTGTGAAACGAGGATTTCAAAGCGTATGTGCAACGCAGCTTTGCGTAGCTAACGTCAGACTGTTCGGGCCCCGTGCCTGTACGTTACAACTGAACTTGAACATACTGGGAACCTTTCAAGTTAAATCCTTTGGAGGAGGAGCAAAGTAATTATCTGTCTCTCTCAGTATTTTTCAGCAACAAATCCAAAAAGTGCTTTATGAAAGGACCAAAAAAATAAGCACAAAAAAATCCTACCCACCAAAGAAAGCAAAACAAAAACCCAACCAATCCCAAATACCTCACCCAACAGGAAACAAACTGGGAAAACAGAACAAGAAAACAACTTCTCTGAAGTCATTCAACAAGTCAATGCTTGAATAAATAAAATCCAGGTTTCCAAGTGCAGTCCAATACTACTAATGATTAAGTTTCAGCTTGGATGACAACAAGCTACATATGCCACATACAATCTCTGTGAGGACAACCTGAAGTACAGCAAATGATTTATGTTTGGTTACTATTTGGGAAGTGTTATTGCCCAAGTAATGGCAAGGGTGTACTCAATAATATTAATAAGACTGTAGGATAGGTAGTCTCAAAATATTAGTCCTTGAGTGTTTTTACCATCATGCCTCTTAAATAAATGAGGTAGGCAACCTGAGAAGCAATTCTAGAATTTGTGAGCCTCCAGAAGTGGCTAGCACAACTGAAAATACTGCCTGCAGGAGAATACTACCAACATTCGCTTCCTATCGGTACCACACTTGGAAGACAAACTAGTTTCCTTTGCTGTGCTTTCTACATATATTACTGATAAGTGGACTTTATTCTTTATAGCAATTAAAATCTATAGACACACAAAACGTTATGCTTCACATTTAATGGAATGTCAGAACTTTAACAACGTTGGCCTTCAAACAGTAGCTGAAGTCTGAATACATTTGTCAATTTAACAGTATGCTTTTCAGTGGGGGCTAAGTTCTCCAAAGCCTTAAAAAATTCAAATTTCCAAGCCTTACTTAAATAATGAAAACTACAAAAAATAAATAAGGAATGCAAATTAACAGAGTAGAAATTGGTAAGTGCTTCATCAGACCCCTAGCTGCTCATATAAATCTGAAAGTCAAAATAAGGGGAATGCTTGCACTATTATTTCCATGCACAAATTACATTTAGTTTCAAAAATCAAATTCTTTTTGGTCAGAAATTTGTACAAACTGAGCCTTTAGAAGTACAGTGAACTACAAAAAGATTAAATATGCAATTATAAAATATATTTATCCTAGGTCGTAAGAATATAAAATGTTTATGCTCACTGGTACATTACACATTACACACATTTAAGGATAACTTATTTGTATTAATAACGTAAATGATACAACACTGTTTATTGCTTATGTCAGGCATGTAAATTGAAATTCAGACAGCCTTCAGTAGCTAAACCTCTGTGGTTCAGGGTTTGCTCAAGATCCGGCAGATCACCATTTTTAAAAGTGTATAAACAGTTGCAGCAGGTTTGTACCTGCTTATATAAACAAAAAACTTTGTTGGGAGGGTAGCAGTTCGTTTTCGTAAGTACCTGCAATGGAAAGTCCTGAGATGTCGACATATGATCAAGTTTACATCACTTCTCTATAGTATGTAATGGTCTGTACCCATTCCAGGTGTAAGGAGTCTACTGCTTAAAGTCACACCCCTGGACATTCATTTGCAGCAAAATTAGCTGCTGGAGCAGACAGGCTTACTTGTTACTTACAAGGAATGTTCTTGAAAATACATTTTCCAGCAAGAATAAGCGCCAACTAAAATCAGTGTACCAAACCCAATCTTAGCGAGAATAGGTTTCCAATATAACCACCTTTTTCTTTTTCTTTCAGTCTCATTTAGCTTCTGCTTCATCTGCTGCAGCTTCTGTGCCGTGTTAGCTTTTCTATCCTCTCGCAGCCGTTTTCGGACAGTACTTAAAGAAAAAAAAAATAAAATAAGTTATGCAATGGGAAAAACGCTTTTTCAAATATTAAAACGAACTTCTTCCAAACATAATCTTTAATCTGTTTTTAACAGAATTTAATGTAGATGGTTTCAGTTTAGTGAAGACTTGTGAATTAGCTAACATATACAAAGATGTAAGTGTTTTACAGGGAATAGAATGAGCTTAATTGCTCTGTATCTTTCACTATCAGTGCCCCACTTGCTGGCTGAGATTTACTGCACACAGGCTGCAGGTATGTGCAGTGTAGGGTATTACATGTAAACATTTAAGTGTGTGCCTCCACTATGGAGCTCACACTGAACTCAGTGATATACTGACCCTAACCTACTCATGTCTACATGCAGACTTTCATGGTGCTCGTCTTAGCTTGGAAACCAAATCTCAAGTGAGCTAAGCAGAAATCAGCTATGTGCTGTTATGCTACCAGGGCCTTCTTGTGATTTCTGTCTCCAGAAGTATCCTCACCATCTCTAAAAAAGCATGGATCTGCCACAAGAAAAAGCCTCTGATCGTCCCAGTCCTAGCACTCGCACACCACACACACCCATAACCCCTCTCTGTGCTTGTGAGCAGCCTTCAGACACATGCAAAACAATTTTCTCTCTCTCAAAACACTGATAAAGACATAAAAGTTAGTAGCCATCTGTTATTTCCAAACTTCACTCTATCTACATGGAATGTCTGCAGCCCGGCTGGGGCTGCAGTCCTCTGGAACAGGCACTGTTCCTTCCTGTGCTTGCACAGCTCTGCACAATCCAGTCCCGGTCTCTGGCTGTGCATCAACAGCCTGCGGTACCGCAGGCAGACCCCAGTGACACAGATCCCAAAGCAACCCAGACGGCAGTTCCCAATGCAGCTGTGTGCAGGAACCTTGGCTAGAGTAAGCCCAGGAGTCGAGGCATTGGTGCTCATGACACGGGCTAACTTGACAGCGAGACAAAGTCAGATGCCAGAACCAGACCACAGAAATCTATCGATGGCAGAAATATAACATGCATGGAGGGTGACGTACGGCTTCCACAACACCATTTCAAGCACCACATCGGAAGTGGTAGGTAATTAAAACCTCCATGCTTCTGAAGTATGTATTTTTCCGAAGGTAAGCTGGTATAGTATTTAAACATTAGTATCAAATTATGTTGGGCATTTTTAGACCTAATTCACATGTGCAACGGAATTCACAGACAGTCTGTAAGAAAATACTTTCAAGCATGAAATTTAGCTGCTTCAATTTGACACACGTTCTTCCTTCTCTTGTCCTTTACACAATAAAGCTTTATCATAAGAAATATATTGTTTTATTAAAAAAATAAATAAGACTGTCAAATACCACCTGTCCTTTCCCTGTACTGAAGGAAGATAATGAAGGTTTCCTATGATCAGAAAAACAGACAATAATTCAGCCTCTCAAGAACATCTCTGCCTCCTGAACTATTTCTTCATTTCACCTACCTTTCAATGTTTCCATCTTGAACTTTAGAGGGCAGGTCAGTATTTTTCTCCGTTTGATCTTTGCTCTCCAGGCCTATGCTGTTCCCATTGTACTTCTCTGTGGTTATTTTGGCTGGGTGTGGAGGAGACTGCTCAGAACTTGGTGCTTGGTCCTCCTTAGAGAGCTCCTTCCACCGTTTCTGCAAACAAGGAGAACATATTTCAAACATTCCCCTAACACTGAGGGTATTCGGTGACCATTCTGTGCGAAGACATCTTGAACAAAGAAGTAGATTAAGGGAGCTATCAGATCAAGAAAAAAAAGAATTGCTAGACAATGTTTTCAAGGAGGTTCACATCACATCTTTAGAGGCAAGGCAGCTCTCATTAGATAAATGGCCACCCAAACCAATTCCTACAATATTCAGAATGTCCAAGAGAACTTTCTACAAAGATACAGGGAAGCCAAGGAATGGTGGGAGAAATTGGAGAAATTTACAGTCCCTCAAAAAAAAAAAATCTAGGGTTATTTACTCCAAAGTTGCAATCTACTAGTTGATTCATTTTATGTCCATCAGCCCAGAAGACATACTGCCTTATAACAAAGAAATTCACCTTTTTTTTGAGAAGTAGTCTGAAATAACATGGAAGGAAAAATAAAAGATGAGTAGTAGACAGTAGTAACTGGTCTACTACATCGTTTTCTTAATGGGTAATTGTCCCAGCTATGACTAGCCTGAAGACTTTCTTGCATAAACAAAATTTTACACAGAAGAAAGCCTGCAGGTAACAGAATGTAACAGGAAGGAAAAAAAGTTGCCCCCCAAACAAACCAGTGCTCTTCTCACACAAATCAGCCAGCCAACAAGGACACTGAATACTTCAGAAACAAAAATTAGTTGCTGTTAAATGTCTATGATTAGAAAGATGAAT